AGCCACCTAATATCAGGCTTTTCTTTAACCTGAACAGGTGGTCAACATTCCTTGACCAATAGCATCATACCTGCTACTTTCAACACTATTACAGTGAATGGAGTGGTGGCACGGAGCGTTGATGAAGTGGGCAGATGAGAGAAAAGCCGGGTATTAGTCGAGCATTTGATCATACGAATGCAGGTAAGCGCGACGCCCCGCAAAGCCGGGCCGTATCACATAGAGGTCTGGAGTGCCTGGAGTGCTCTGGAACCGCTTGAGGATTTTTTAAGGCTGGTCCCGCTCACCTTGACGCACGCTCCACACACGACAGGTATGCCTGACACTTGTGAACCGGTGACCCCTCGCTGATCTTAAACTACTTCTTCCCAGTGTCTGGAGTGCTCTGGAACCGTTTTGCGAATTTTTTAAATTTGGCTCCACCCACCTCGGAGCACGCCCCGCTCACGACGTATGCCCCGCGCTTCTCAACCAATGACCCCTCGCTGTTCTTAAACTACTTTTGAATCTGGAGTGCTCTGGAACCGTTTTGCGAATTTTTTAAATTTGGCTCCACCCACCTTGGGGCAGGCTCCGCCCACAACGAATGCCTCGCGCTTCTCAACTTATGACCCCTCGATGACCTTAAACTACTTTTTCCCGGTGTCTGGAGTGCTCTGGAAGCGTTTTGCGAATTTTTTAAGTTTGGCTCCACCCACCTTGGGGCACGCTCCGCCCACAACAGGAGTGCCTCGCACATTCCTGCATGTGATCAACCTATGGGGGGCCAAAATCCACTTTTTGCGCCATCTGTAGTGCTTTAGCACCAAATTACGGTTTTTTACAATGGTACCTCGGGTTCAAATGCACGCCCCGCCCACTGTGGGCGGGCCTTAGTACTCCGCAAACATGGTGGACTCTTGACAGATGTTCATCTTCGTCATGGAGTTTTCTGCGACCTCTAAACATTTTCGGGAACCGAGTTACCTACCTTTATGGAAAGCGCCGCCCATCTCAAGCACGCCCCGCCCATTTCGGGTGTGTCTCCTATGTTTGGTCGGTCAGGCCTTTGTTAACTTTACTGCACTGTTTCCTCATCACGGGACTGCTCTGGGACCGAGTTATGACTTTTTTTCAGTGACATCGCTAACTTTGGACGCACGCCCCGCCACAATTTGGGCGGGGCTTTAGCATGGAGTCGGTGGGTTGCTATTTGGGTTTCTGTCCCATCTCTTATTCACATCCTACCATGACCCCAACCCCGCCGCCAGCTCTGCTTCAGGTGCTATGAATTTCGTGACAGACAGACAGACGCACACACACACACACACACACACACACACACACACACACACACACACACACACACACACACACACACACACACACACACACACACACACACACACACCACACACACACACTGGGGACATAGGCCGATTAATTAGTTAGGATAGCGGAATCTGACCAGTTTTCAGAAAGAAAGCTGAATGACCTACTTACCCAAAATTTTGAATGGTTCATACATCGTTTTAAACTTCGCCACGCAGAGACGAATCTCATTATATCTGTTGCTTCTCCCATAACCCTTTTTGAAAGAAGTTATGGCAGTGCGGCGCTTTGGGGCGCTTTGCGGCGGTCTGCGGCGGATTAATCCGCCTTTTTTCCAAAAATTAGGGGCGGTATTGTAATTACGACCTCCATCGATTCATCCCCCTTCCAACTCTTGCAGGCCAGGGCACATCATTAGGTTGGGGATTTTGCGCCGAGTCTGTCAGGACCCCCCTTTATTTTGTGGGGTTGGTGCGACCCCCCCCTCTGTTACCGGCCTCAATCGGAAATTCGAGCCCTGCCGTCGAGCGGGAGGGGGGAGGGTACAGGGAGGGTAAATAGCATATGCACATGAAACGGGAAAAGCCGTGGGACAACAAGGTCTCCGCACCTTCTACCAATCCTCAGATTTCCCCCAACTTCCTGCCACTTTTTCCAAATTTCCCGAAAACTTCCCTACTTTTCCCCAAAAATTTTGCTGTCGAGTGGGGGGGGGGGGGAGTTCGAGGGGGCGCACGTAGTACGCATGAAACAGGAAAATCACCAAAAGTCAACCACCACTCCTACAACACCAAACGTAAATACAACCCCCCCCCTTCCCAACAATGATCAAGTATGACCTCCCTCCCCTTTCCAACGTCCGTGAAAGCAGAGAAAAATCAAACTATAAAAAAATAATTTTTCCAAGCCACTAGACCCCACCCCTTCTCCTGGCGGCCAAATACGACTCCCCCTATTGGGGATTCCTCAACAGCGATGTGCCCTGATAGCCTGTTTCCTAATATACCCTGTTTCCTAATATACCCTGTTTCCTAATAGAGTACCTCACAATTGAGGATTCCTCCCGAAGATTGAGAGGTTGTGGTTCATGGAGAGGGTATACATCAATTGGAAAAGTAGTCGTCACAAATTTTGCTTACCGGGGATAGAAAGAGGTGAAGTAAAGGGGGATAGAGAGACGAAGTAAACAGCTTAAGAAGCAGGGCTGACTAGAACTAGTGATGAGTTGATGAAGAAGTGAAGTTCTCTGAAGAAAGTGTCATAGCTACCTATTACATATGCATCACTCTATTCTATAAACCAGAAGCTTGGTGTGTTGCTCCGTCCGGAAGATGTGTTCAGGGTGAAATAGAGAGAGTGATAGCAGAAATTGACTGCTAGTCGAAACAGACACCGGTCGATGCCTACAGCATCAGTATCTGAAATGATGTTTTGATTATGGTAGCTTCTTGGTGCACACGAGATGTGCGTTAGCCAACACTGGTACAACAGAAAACACATGTAACATATACAGCTTATACATGATTGGTACCTATCCTGCCTCCAGAACAAACTTGGCATCACACCGCCCTTTGAAAATCACGTAATTCTTCTTCTCATTGTGTTACTGGCTTGTTCTCTGCGGATGAAGGGGCGTGTCAGGAGGGATGGATGAGGCGCGGCGCCAACCCGTTCTTTAAAAGTTGCTGAAGGGGTTAAGCGGCAACAGTTAGTGGGAAATGACTGATACTAACGACATGATACAATCGTGTTGCTTGCTCTCTTCAACATCTGGTGGGTAACGGGTTTCCGCACCAAACCCCATCTCGTCCGACACGCTCTTCATTCGCTGTGAAGAAGACTGTACATAGCCAACTAAACACTTCTTTTTCATCTTTCCGACTGAGAACACTGGAATTCCTGTTTTGCGATTTGCAAAGTTGATTGGAGAGCAGGGTACAGCATGGGGATGTGTCAAATGGCGGTGTGGGTACGACCCCCCCCCTCGAAGAGGGTCCAGATACGACCCCCCTGCTCTAACTGACAACCAGATGCATGTTCACCACAAATGGCTTCCTGAAATGGAATCTGGATTCTCGAAAGGCGCACTCTGCTCTAAAATACAGGAAATAAAAGGCTGTTTCAGCCTCATGCAGTGTAGGTTGTCCGGAAGGTTCTCAGCGTTTTGAGTGTTTCATTCTAAACGATCATAACTTTCTTCATAACTCATCCGGATTCAATCGACCAAAGGCAAAGCACCGTCGATCAGCCACACTTTTAATTGTGACACACAGAATCTCATCAAGAAAAAAAATCAAAGAAAAAAACTGGGTGGTCGAGAGTTCACGAAATCCACGAAGGCTTTTTTGCCTGGTCCTGATTGATGAAGTATTTTCCAGCAAGGAAGTTCTGAAAATGTTTGAAAAGGTGATAGTCGGTTGGTGGAAAGTCTTGAGAATGATGGTGGGCTGTGCATAGACTTCAACCCCCAATTTTCGCTTCAATTTATAGCCGTTAGTGATTGTGGAACGTGGGGGGGGGGGGGGGGGGGCGGCGTTGTCATGCAAAAGAATAGGACCCTTTCTGTTGACAAGTGCTGGCTGATGCTAACCCAATTTTCGGTGCACTTCGTCGATTCCTTCCAGTAGGGTTCTGCTATGATGGTTTGGCCTGGTGACAAAAAGTTACAGCGGATCACACCAGCCGATGAAAAAACCAAACTGTGACCACAATCTTTTTTTTCGTGAGGTTTTGACTTTGGAAATTGCCTCGGTGGTTTGTCGGAATCCAACCACTGTGCGGAACGTGTCCTGTTATCATATATGATCCACTTTTCATCACAGGTGACAATGTCAAAAAACGGGTCATTTCTGTTGCGCAAAAGCAGTGAAGAAGAAACCTCGAGACGTGCCGATTCACTCGGTCACTACAAAATTTGCTGGGGCACTGGTCAAGTTCCCAACATTAATACTAAATGCACTATGCAGACCATCCGTAACAGTGAAGTATTGCCAATGCCTAGCACTTTCATGCAATCTCGAACTGATTGAATGGGATGGAGTCAGACTCCGAAAACCTCATAATCAAATCACTTGTCAGTATTGCTTATAGGTGACTGCTACGAGGTATTACCTCAAAGCTAAATTCCAGAACGATATTACTGTCGAACCATTGTCCAGCATGTGTGCTTTCTGCAACACTATTGGGCCCCAACACCTGGTTAATTTGTCGAGCTGTATCGACTGCGGATTCACCCAATTTTTTGTTGAAGAAAAATAACGCCCGAAGTTGCTCTTTTGACATGCTTCAAAAAGTCTTGGGAAAAGGGGGTCAATCAAGCAATGATGAAACGGCCAATATACTTCAGAATAGCGCCGAAAAATGTTCTCTTCAGGAAGTGTTACTACTGAGACGCAAGGGAGAACGAGTTTTTAATCACCAATGAATGTACAAAAAATAGTAACACAAAACGCCGAGAACTTTCCGGACAACCTAATAAGTTCAAAGATGCAGCCAGCCTTCCCCGTGTTCGGGATATGGAGCGTGCAGTCGGTAAGGTTGCTCTTGGGATGCAGATTTTTACGTAAATATTATATTTATCCTTATTATGAGAAAATCATTGCTCACCTTTATGAATTCAGGTTCTAGAGATGGAGGTTTCCTCGTCTTCTTGGGGTGGACAATAATCCTGCTTGAATTGTTTTTAAAAATTACCACGCAAAAAGACTGGCAGCTTTTGCACCTGAAGACAAACATTCAGAGTGCGAAAAAAGAATGAAAAATCAAAAATTTTAAAATGAAGGACAAGCTACCTCCGACATGCACTGGTTCTTTGATAGGTTTCTTTTTGGGCTTCTTGTTAAGTGCAATGACTTTGCCTTTTTTCGCGACAACACCTTCCTTGAGCACCAATGGGCCATCAGAAAGATCCTTCAATTAATCTTCAGTAAGTCCTCACCAATGGGATTCGACTACTCTTTTCGAGGCTCAGCTCAGCTTGGTGGGGGCACCACAGGCCCACGCTACGAACAACAGTGGACTCTCGCGACCAATGCGGCTCGCGGTCAGTCGGACAATTTTCGCGGCTCCACAAAAGTTTACAGACCTGACCAAGTGAGACCTGTTGGTTAATATGAACACGATAGGAACTAGCTAAAGTGCAAAATGCCCCCTCCAAGCTGAACAGCGCCGACTCCAACTTACCCGTTTCGAGAATTCTCTTCTTGTGTAGGACACGTGAATTAGGGAGTAGATAAAATAAAAGGTGTGGGCCACGATATAGCCGAGTAGCAATAACAACACTACTTTCCGCATAACTTCGGAAATCGTAGTTTTGAGGAGTTGGCTCAGTACGGCATGGGCGGCGGGGGGGGGGGGGCTGAGGGAGGCGTTTAGTACTTCCGCTACTTGCCATGGCTGTGCTCATTATTTCGCAAGACTTGACAAATGGTCTCCACAAACATTGACTAGAACCACTTTTTCGGCTTCATAAGATCAGACAAACCCCTACTTGATGGCTGGACAAGACGATGGGAAATATCGAAAGTGCAAAGTATCCCCTTAAGCCGAACTTGGTCGAGAAGTTTTCCCTGTTTGTTCAAAAAAGAGTATTGCACGCAAGTAGTACTACTCGACTTCCTAGCCAAGCTCTCAGTCGCTGAAACTGGGCGACTCCTTATCAGGCTACACCGGGGCAGTTCGGCGATGGGAGAGGGGTGGGGCATTTTGCACTTTTGCTACTTCCCATCAACCTGTCCACCCATCTAGAGAGCCTTTTCTTGAGTTGACAGGTTTTACCATGGTGGCTCGACGAGCTTGCTCCAGCTTCACAAGAGTTCACAGGTTTCACCAGAGTGAGACTTGTAAACCGGAACTAGTGAAGCAGCAAAAGTGCAAAATGCCCCCTCCCCGTTGCCGAACTGCGCCCTACATCATTCATAGCGGCTTATCGTGCTATTTGATTATATTAAGGTAAGGCATTTTGGTGCAGCCATTTGAAACCACTATAAGCATTTTTCTCATATTACAAGCAATCGGGTAACGAAAGGCTGTTTTAACATGATGGAGAAGGAGCTCTATGAAACACAGGGTGATGTCCTCCCCGAAAACTTGCGCAAAAATTCTCACACCACTCTCACATAAAATTCAAAAATTCTAGCTACTAATGCTTTCTCGGCACCTTACAGCACTATTTAGCACAGAAAAAAATAAAAGAACTCACTTAGAACCGAATGTGAGCCACGGGCGGCTCATTTCTCCTCGTGGACCACTTTTTATGCCGCTCCGACAAATTGCGCAAATCATTGAGCAATCTTGCACGGAATGCTATTTCTACCACCCTGATTGCACTATGTACATGCTGAGCCGTCGCCACAACCACGCCCACTTCTCAGCGCGATCGTGACTTTATATCATGACTTATTTTTAGTAGCTTTTTTCCATTTTTGCATTTCCGCGCTTATATGGTACACGACAGACGTGCATCGCGATGCGAAGGCGACTTCATCTGCTTTCCAACG